TGGATTAAATAAATGCTTGCCATACCTTTACTATTCCTTTTTGATTGATTTATTTCTTTAAAAATGTCCTGCTAAGTGTTGCTGTTTGAGACTTTGCTCCTATTAGACATTGTTCATTTGTCTATAAACCCTCAGCCTGTTTTAGTGTAGGTATTCAATGAAACTGTTTGACAAATGGCCTGTGGTACACCATGGGAAATGACATCCAGGTGGGGATTCTGGCCCATAAATGAGAATGGAAGCAAGAAACAACCAAACTACAATGTTGTGCAACTTTTCAGCACTGAAAGTATTTTAGTTTTCAGCTAAAATATTTCTGGGGTTTGATAGCTCTGTTTTCCAGCAAAAATAAAATAAAAAATTGGTGTAGAAAACAGGCATTTTCATGAACATGTTTATTTAGTCTAAAATCTGGTTATTTAAAATTGGGTTTCAAGAGGAAATGTTCAACCAGCACTCCTCAACCAAGGACTATTTCCATTAGTACCTCTTGTCATGAGGCATGTAGCTAGTGGTTTTGGTAATATTTTACTAGGGTACTAAAAGGAGAAGTTCCCAATGTATAGCTGGCCTGTGTCCACAGGGTTTAGGGCAACATTTCTTATGAGTTGTTGGCCACTTCTTTTTGACTCACTTGATCTGGATGGGCAATAAAAAAAATGGCAGCCTGCCAGGGTTAGTCCCTGGCAGGCTGCCGCTGCTATATTTACCTGTACCTCTGCTGGTATCGGATGATTGCAGCTCTCATTAGCCGCAAATCGCTGTTCATGGCCCATGTAAGTGGCAGAAAGCAGCATGACCGGGACACCACTTCCTGCCACTTGCATTGAACATGAAAGGCAATTCACAGCCAGCCAGAGCTGTGATCATCTGATATTTGCAGAAGAGCAGGTAAATATAAAGGTGGGGGCCCACCAGGGATTAACCCTGCAGACCGGAATTTGCCCACCTCGGCACTAGACTGATAGTCTGCGAGGGATAGCTGAAGTTTCATCTTGCTATTCCCATGGTGTTGTATGACTCAGTTGTTCCTCTCCACCCATTTGTATTCCATTTGGGAAGATAAGAGCTTGTAACTTTGTAACATATTTATCAGATAAGTCTCTCTTCATTTATTGTTCCTTTGAATTTTCTGTCTTCTGCGTCTTTGTGATAATGTTTTACTGTGTCCATTACCATTCCTGAGGATTTCCTGGATCATTTTGTTACTTGTTGGACTCCTTCCTCTTCAGTACATTACTTGGCCTTCTTCAGATAATGTTACATTAGCTGACATTGTTTTTTCTTGCATCACAAGCCAAAATCCCTTACCTTCAATTTCCTAAATTGTGATCAATGTCAATGTTGAATCCCTGGTACAGTAGCACATCCTATAGGGAGCAATCAGAGATACAAGTGATTGCTAAGGAGCTAATTGGGGTCCTGTTAATTACCTTCAAAAACACACTTCAGATTCTGAATGGTTTTGCACTAATTTTTTTTTAACAATAATGACAATTCACTTAAGCAAAATGATTAGTTTTTCCATCACTGAATTCCCTTTCTATCATTTTCTTTGTCAGAATTAGCTTGTTAAACTCATGCTGCTGATGGCTGTAAGAACAAAGAAACCGGTAACAAATTTAAATGATTTTACCATATGATGATTGAATGCAGTGCTGAACTTCTACCTGGTTATTATCAAACTTTAGTGAAATAGTAGCTGTCCAACTAGGTTTTAAGACTGGAACACACAAAATCCATTAACCTGGGTCCCCCTAGGCTCTGGTGTGTGAGGGAAATGTGGGGAGTATCTTTCTCTCTTTTAGTCAAGGGCCACATAAGTAAGGGTTGGGTGGGTTTTTTGTTTGTTTGGGTTTTTTTTTCTTCTCACTTGTGGCTCCTGATTGATTTTTCTGTGGGTCATCGGCCCAGGACCCTAAAAAAGTTTCCCTGTTCCTGATAAATTGTGTGACTGTACAAGGTTGTCAAGAAGAACTTATGCCTATTTTAAATCAGAAATGTGAAGTAAAGTAGGCAGGGTGGAAGACTTTCAAAAGGCCATACACTAGTATAAAGAAAGTTTTATTTATAAAAAAGTATCAACATTTATGTGTCTATTCCCACCCATGATATATAAACAAACACTTGGCAACTCATACAGGTGGAGATGATATGAAAGCTAGATACTGAGGTCTGAAAAGCTGTTTTCACCCAGACAGAGAGAGAGAAAAAAAAGGATGAGAGAGAAAATTACAGAAAAGGGTATATTGAATTTTTAGGATATTGATAATGTTGCAGTGGAGAGGCCCAAAATGAAGAATGGAAATTTTACCTTTAGTATATAGTCACACATATGGTCTGTGATTCAACAATCAACAATGAAGATGAATATGTGACTTGAGATGTTTTATAGCACCTTTTTTACTTTGTTTAGCCCAGGACAGCAATAATTGGTGATGCTGTTGGAAGGCTTTTCTCTGATAAGTTTAACAAAATAAAACTAAGAATTGCTGCAGACACCACCAAAAAAGGCACTATGTTCTCAAATATTATTCACTTACATCACCATGTTAATATGGCTCTGTGGTTTTGGTTCTCATAGAGAAAGAGTAAATGAAAATTAAATTACAATGAAAAGTTTTTTTTTCTTACTGTAAAATAATTCACAATTATGGAATTTTAATATTCTAGAAAAAATAGCTCTCGTGAACTACAATTGCCTAGTTTACACACTGCAATACTAGGAAGCTAATAAACCAAACAGTAAAGATGCTGACTGTCTATATTGTGAGCTCATTGATGTAGATGGCAATAAAATAATTCCTTACAATGGAGGATAGAAAACACTCTAGTTTTATTAACTATGTAGTTTTAATTAGCAGTAAAGCACAAATTGGACAATGAGATTTTCTTTTTTTCATTATATATTTAGATTTCAGCACTTGAGTGTCTGACTAGGTAAGATCAACAGTTCTTCGAGTGATTTTACATGTCCATCCCACTGTAGGTGTTTGTACCCTCCAGATTAAAATATCTGTTGATGGAATCAATATTATGTCCGTCATCTGAGTCATTCCTCTGTCCAGATACCAAGCACCTTGGCATTGGTCCACAGCATACCTACTGAAGAGGAAACATCAGAAATCTGACTTGGCACTGAGATTGCTGAAAGATGAGAAAAGGGTGAGGTGCTCTAAAGGTTTGAAGGTATCCAAGGAGGAAGCGCTCTATATAGCACATCTCTAAACCAAAAAGTTCATTAACTTGAGAGTCCAGCATGGGCCTTATGAGACTGGCTCTTGACGTATCTTCATCGGCATATCCTCACTCTTTGGTACTATAGAGCATCTTTCTGGTACCTTCTAATCCTGAAGTGTTTGAGTTTATGAGAGAGTTATTTAATCTCTCCATGCTGCCATTACTAGCACTTCAAGAGTATAGTCTGGCACTGGTACCCAGGGTTCCACCTTCAGCATGTTCATCCTCACCCCCTTTTGAATTGCCACAGGAGCATCAGAGTGTCACTCTGTGTGTCCCTGAGGGCTGGGGAGGGCACTGAGGTCTAGCTGTCCCCAGCCATGCTGCTTCCACCTGAAGTCCTGCCCCTTCTGGAGCTGGGTCCCCCACACCTTGCTCCGGGGTCCATGGTGGCTGTTGGCCCCACTGCCTTCACCTCTAACCCTGGACAACTCCATCACTTTTGACCATTTGGAGAAAGCCACAAATGATATCCTCAGCTTCCCTTTCTCTAGAGTATGAGCCTTCCTCCCCAGCACCAACTGCTGTGGTATCACCATGTTCACAAGAAGAAGCTTTTCCATCTCACTGTTGGACACACAGGATTCCACTTCAACCTAGTTCTTCTCAGCAGAGGCGATATATTACCTGCCAGCCCTGGTTTCACTCCAAGTGCCAGTAGAGGGCTTGTAGGGGAGGGACCTTTGGGCTATATATAGTTCAGGACCAGGGCTGTAGCAGTTGCCCCTTTGGAACCTGTGGGGCTTTTCTTCTCAGTCAGGAGCATCTTCACAGCCACTACCATCTAATGGCCATTAGGATCAGCAATGCCACAAACACCATAATATTGGTGTCAAGTCCAGCACTGAGCTGAGTCTGGAACCCTTTCATCAACAAGAGGGATAGGAACTAGATAAGCTTCCAGTATTGTAAACATCCCCTTCCTCATCCCTTAATGAGGCAATTAAGGCAGAGCCTATTTCTTCACCTCCTGATGATTGCTAGACTCAAGGGCTGTGTCTAGACTGGCCACCTGAATTTCCTCAAGAACACTGACAATCTCATGTAAGAAATCAGTGCTTCTTGTGGAAATACTATGCTGCTCCCATTCGGGCAAAAGGGCCAGTGTAGACAGCTCAGATTTGTTTTGCGCAAAAAAGCCCCAATCGTGAAAATGGCGATCAGGGCTTTTTTTGCGCAAAAGCGCATCTAGATTGGCACGGACACTTTTCCGCAAAGAGTGCTTTTGCGGAAAAGCGTCCGTGCCAATCTAGATGCTCTTTTCCGCAAATGCTTTTAACGGAAAAGTATTCCATTAAAAGCATTTGCGGAAAATCATGCCAGTCTAGAGGTAGCCTAGGGATGTTGAGGAGGATGTCTATGGCCCTAGACATCCAGCCTGAGGAAATCCAGGAAAATTACCAAAAACTGATGACGATTTTGACAACTGTGTTTCCAGCCAGAATAGCCTCATTTTAGGGAGAGTTATCTTAAATGCTACCAAGTTTCCCTGCTTCTGAGGGTCATTTGATTTCCATGGTATGAATTTCTTCATGAATATCCAGTTATATTTGCCTGTGTTACCAGATAGAAACATAGAGTACTGGGCTATTTGACTACTTTTCAAGGGGCCCATGGCATATCTGATTAATATGCACATATTAGACATATTGCAAAGGGCAACCTAATCATCATGTCACACATTGGCCTTCTATGATGCAATCTCTGAACAATCTAAAGATGCTGTTAAATTTGAATGACTGGTCTTCTAGTCCCCATTCAATGGGGCTCCAAATGCACCTCTCTGTGGAACTTCTTGAAATGAACATGTGCAGTCTCTCAAAAAAGAAAAAATGGTTATTAACCTTTTTGTAATGGTAGTGATAGGAAGAAGCTTAGAGGAACCAGTTGTCAACCCTTTATGTCTGTACAGCATGCACAAGATGGCAGAAAGTACTCAGGCCTTGCCAATAGATATCTCAAAGAGTAAATCTGTCTGAGAACCATGCTGGAGCCCGAAACCCCCTCCAATGGAATGGATGCGTGCAACACATTTCAACAAACAACAGTTATGGCAAGGTTAGTAACTGTATATTTCTCATTGCCTATTTTTGTAATCTGCTCCCTCCCCCCACAACAAATATGACAATTATGTATGTTGAGAGAGCTTAGGGCTATGTGTTTAAACAAAGACCATCTGAAAGGGATGTCAGACCACATCTAGAGATGTGATCACAAAAAGCCATCACTTGATCCACCTTATAAGGGCAATATTCAATTGCCAGAACTAAAATAGCTCCTGCCCATAGCAGAAAATTAAACATGAATTTTCTTTATAATAGAAAAATGAGTTGCCTGTGCTCCTCTTGCATTAGTATAGAAAACAACTCTTATTTCATATGCTAAAGAAATGTATCTGTCTGGCATTTCTAACAGTGCTCTACAGTCCTGAAGTCAGTTCAAACAGTCAAAGAGCTTTATTCTTTGATTCAAAGGCACAAGTCACTGGGGAACTATTTCCCCAGTGTCATTATACATTATCTTGGGGTTTCTTTGTTTTTAAAGATAAAACAACATTTGTGCTAACTACTCAAACTTGGACTCACTTAATGTATCTAAGTTCATTGTATAATGCTATGAGGACAAATAAGGATATATGATATTGCATATTTTGAAAATTTGTGAAATATTAGTGGAAAACAGTCCCCAACAGATGTGATTTTTAAGTTTACATTTTGAAAATGTTCTGTTTATTGAAAGGTTGTATTCTATGAAATCCATGTATGTAGCGCTTCAGTGTAGTTTACACATATTAGGAAATTTTCAAAATTGCTTCAAGGTAGGTTTACAGCCTGGGGATAATGAGAGGGGGGGGGTTAATTCTTATTATATTAAAGTCCCTTTCAACAGTTCTGTCTCTGGTATAAATAAGAGTGAAGCCCAGATAGGTACAAGGATTTATCCAAGCCGCAAAGGGAGTCACTATCAGAGCTGGGATTAGAATTCAGGAGAGTCTGACTCTCAGTTCTCTGGTTAGCTCACTCTTCCCACTCTCTCTGTGGACAATTATTTTGAAATAACTAATTTGAAGTAAAAACTCCCAAAATAACTATTTTGAAATAAACTTATTGCCCGAGGAAAGAAGGAGTTCAGATTTCAAAATAACCAGCCTGTTATTTCGAAATAGCAGGCTTGGCAGTGTGGATGCTCCACTTATTATTTTGAAATAACTCCGTAGTGTAGACCAGGGTCTAGTGTGCTATGGAGTTGCATTTGAAACCATTCAATATTTTAGACCACTTTCTGTAATTCAAGGCCTATTTTGTTATTAGTATTCCTGAATTACAGATCCTCTTTAAATAAAACATATTTAATTGAAAGTAACATCTCTTATTTAAAATTTCTAGTGATTCCTCCCCTCCTTCCCCCCCCCCCCAAAAAAAAATCAGGGTGTTGTTGTTTGTTTGTTTTTGTTATGGGTTGGTTTGGGGTTTTTTTGTGGGGGATGCAGGGAGGTTGGATTTCACAGTACTTTGCAGAACTGTAAATTTCAGTGTGATGCCTTCAACTTGAATACTGATTAGTAAACTGGCAGCTAATGACCATTGCTTAAGCAGTGGGTAACAGAATACAGTTGTTGACTGGGCAGAAAAAACATAAGCATTCAAACAGTAGTGTGTTTCCATCAAGGGATGGAAAAGAAAGTAGTAAGGGAAAATTGCAGCAATATTTACTGAGGATGAGCGGGGACCATTTATACGATGATGATGTTGTATGAACTGGATTGGTTGCCATGATAATGATGAATTTGTAGTGGTAGCTAAGAGCACCTGGTTGTCAATGCCGTTTTGGTAAGGAAGGTAGGGTTTTATAATAAAGAGCTAGCAGCTGTAAACAAATCATGATCTTTTGTAGTCACTACATATTACTTTAAGGGATGTCAAAGTGGTGTACAGAAGTGGGTAAATTCTATTATTCTTATCTCATGAAGGAGTAAACAGAGGCATAGAGAGTTTAAGTGGCATGCCCCAAGTAAAAGCAACTCGGTGATAAAGTCAGGAAGGGCATTTGGAGGAGTACTATTTTTTTCAGACTATTAGATAATATTGCTTTTTCTTTGACAATCTTCAAATAATAATAAAAGGAAGAGGCCTCCTGCCTGTCAACCAAATAGTTTATATGAAGCTGACACCCTGGGTTTTCATTTTTAGTCTGTTTCCACCGGGATCCTCAAAAGAAAAAAGTGCTGTCTTTTTTTTTTTTAATTCACAACAGCTATTTCCTGCAAGTGAATTACTGAAAATGTGAATTTTACAACAATGTGAGCCACACTGTAAGGTAAAAAGAATGTGAGTGTGAATTTCCAAATGCCTTTTGTGGATGGGAGAGATGGCACAAGGAGAGAATGAGAATTCTGTTTGCACTGATTTAATACTAGCTACATGTATTCATAGAAGTGCCATCTGCCTAAAATAAACAATGTCAAAAGAATATTAAAATTATGAATTCTAAAGATGGTTTAAAAACTAGCTTTATTCAGGCTTCAGAGCCCTGGGAGCCCTCAAGCCCCAATACTGAAAAGGAAGTAGATACTGGATTTGCTTTTATGTATAAAAGTCATAAGCCAAACAAGGAGTTGGAACATATGAGATTTTCAGCTGTCCACCTGCAAGAGAGGAAGGTTTGCACAGGCTGCATATAAGTTTGCTTATGAATCAGGGCCATCTCAGTGGGAGGGAATACCTTTCAGTTTGTATACAATAATCTACGGAATATAGTGAAAGTTGTGGCAGATGAGTAAACCTGCAATAGGAATTTGGGGTAGGAAGGTACAAATGACTGGAATTTGTATTGACTACTTTTGTAGCAGACGTGTTCACTCAACTACCTTCATGATGAGATTGGGGGTACTCTCATATCTGCCTATGTACAGAGTATTTTGATCCGAGTTCACTAGAATGACACTAGAAAAAATATGGCCGTTAAAGACCATTGTTCTTAGTGCATCTGGGCCAGATTTTCAAAAGTATTTTGGCACCTAAAGATTCAGATGGGTATTTCTAAAATCCTGCTAGGAACCTAACTCTCATTAATTTCAGAGGCAGTAGGGATTTCCAGAAGTGCCTGTAAGACACATGTCAGCATTTATAGGTGCCTAAAGAGTTTTAAACACCTGGCCCTTTTGCACTATAAAAAGGGTATTGGCACAGAGTATAAGAGAAGCAAGATATGGTCAGTTTATCTGTCCCCTCTAGGATACTGCTGCCACTACACTGTTATGATACATAGTGTGGAGACTCTGGAGGTGTTGCTGCTGCTGCTGTAAGAACATCAGCAATAATGATGGTATTATCTACCACCACGTATATATCATTTAGAAGACTGTAGATGAAAGAAGAAGCTCAGCGAGCTAAAGATGTGCCAGGTTTGTCTATGTTAAATCTTCTCCTTCTGGAAATTGTTAGATAACCATCTGAGTTATAGATAAATGCAATTTAAAGGAACATTCATCCAGCATTATATAATGTCATGTTTATTACATGTTACAGAACATAAAGTGGTATAAGGCATTTAATAACTGGTTAATTAGTTTAGAAGGAAACTAGAGATGCTATAAACTTTTATATATGGATACTTCTATATAATAATGAAAAGTGTCAGTATTTCACACAAAAATAACTGAATGTATCAAGAATAGAAATTGCTCTTTTGAGTGTAGTAGACAGTATAAAGATAGTAAAAACTTACTTATGATGTTTTCACAAACTGAAATGTTGACTGTGAAGCAATCCAACATAGTCAAGCAGAATCTTTATACAGGTTGAACCTCTGAAATCTGGAACGCTCTGATCTAGCAACATCCGTGGTCCAGCAGGACCATGGATGTTGCTGGATCAGAGAGCCCTGGCACCCAGGAGCTCTCTGATCCTGGGAAGCCCAGCTGGGTGGGACAGTAGTTGAACCGGCAAGCCCCGTCCCTGGGGTGCCCTGGGTGGGCAGGGCAACAGCAGGACTAGCGAGCCTCATTCCTGAGAAGCTCCAGCTGGGTGGGGCAGTAGTGCGGCAGCCAAATGCAAAAGCAGGGCAGCCAGCAAGCCCCGTCCCCAGGGATTTTCGGTTGGGCAGGAAAGAAGTGGGGCTGCTACAGCTGGGGTGCTCTATCCCCAGGGAGCCCCCATGGGTTGGAATGCAAGTCCTAGCCCTGTAGGCTGGAGCCCAGTGGCAGTAGGGCCAGAACAGAGCCAGCCACAGGGAGGGGGAGTGTCCTGGGAGGCCGGTGGCAGGGACCTCCCCTGATGTGGCAAATTCTTTCCTTCCGGATGGGTTAGGTCCCCAGGATGCCACACAAAGGAGGTCCAATCTGTAGTAAGTCCACTATAGTATAACTCAGGATAACATGCTAAAATATAATAGGCATATTATAAAAGATAATATGACATGTCAAATATGAGAGAACAATTTAAGACAAATAGGTGATAACAGATATATGGCTGTCTGCAATTACTATCAGTCTTCAGCATCTTCTGGTAGCAAAACCTCACAATGCAACAGCTCTGTCTCCATTTCTCCTCTCTTTGATGGACAAATTGTTATCTAGTTCCATCCCTGGGGGTCTTTGTTATGACCCTGACTGGGTCATTAATAGTCTCTCTTCTCTTAGTGTGATAGTCCCATATGTCAAAAGCCAGTTACTCTGGAGGACATATTGGCAATACACCCGCCCTGCTTGAACATTGCTCACTTATTCTAAGTTTCAATAAACTCTTTGAAGGAGCTGAAAGTTCCATCCACCCCTTAAGATTCCAAATCAGGATTCCTATCTGAAGGGGGTGGAATCTAACTCTCCTGATCTTGCTGTTTCCCTAAGCTGCTGGTGAAGGGTCTTACTTTCAGTGTCTTCTTAGTCTCTCTGGCAGCTATCCTGCCCTTCTGACTTGCAGCCTTGCTACCATCCTGCCCCAGCTGAGCAAATAGCCAGTTTCTGTTAACCCTTTAACAGCTGAGGCCTCATGGGGCCTGTATGCCCCATGATGAGGATCAAAACCTTCAGAGAAAGTAACAGAATTGTTCATCAGTGTACAGTGAGGCTCTTAGAAACCAGTGCTTACATTATCAAGTGTCCCAGTTTAATGCAATAGTTACAAGATTGTTAATAATTCATGATAACATTTTAACATTAAACACACATAAAATATTTGAAATGTGTTTTAAGAAGAGTCTTTAAAACTTTGCTGATTTCTTTGGAATATCAAAATATGCACACTACATAGCACATTCTTATCTTTACATTTGGAATCCTATGTGTGGTAAAAGGAATAAATATTTTTTCCTGATGAGAAAAATCAAAGCTGCATGCCATTTCAGTGAAGTCAAGCTGACACCTGCGGAGAAGCAAGTCATGACATTTTAGCTGACTGCTTTCTCTCTCTCTCCTCCCTGCCCCCCACTTGTGGTTTGTTTGTTCATTTTATTTACCCTGACAGACAAAAGGGCCTAGATGAATTTGTTTAGATGATGCTTTGGCTTACTTTCCCATAATTCATATTTTCTTCTCCCTTGTTTAGTAAGTAGTTCCTACAAGCTAGTCTTATCTACATGTGACAGTTCTACAGAGGCAAAATACACTGAACACATTTGTATTAACTTCAGAGCTTCCCGCCTTCCTGATTTCTCAAACATAGCTACATTTATCAAGATAATAAGCTTCAGGTTTCATAATAAGAAGAGATCTATTTTCATGTCAGCCTGGCATAGTCCTGACTGACTGAGCTAGTAAGATCCTTAAAAATATGAATTTAGGATCAATAATATTTATAGTCCCATTTATAAAGTAGAAGTCAAAAGCATGTAAAAATACTGAATTTATTAATGCAGCTTACTCTAGAGACTGTACATTTACTAACCTCTAATCCTGCTTCTACTATTTAGCATCTGAGACTAACAAAAAATAAATTACAGGTGTTCACAAGGGGGTAAAATACATACAGGAAGCCCACAAATTATCTTGATTGTATCCTAATATTGCAGAATTTACTGTATCCATCAACCAATCTTTTCCAAGCTGTGTCTTATTTTTGTTAACTGTGAATGCCATTAAAGACTACAATAAAGTTATTGTAATGGAATTGAAATACATTTTATTGCATCAATATAAGTTCCATTTACTGTGTAATATGACAGTGCTTAATAATTTTATATTACAAGCATAATTATAGTATCAAATTAGTAATTTTCACAAAGTACTTGCATTAGATGTGCATATGATATGATGCAATATATTTCAATTCTCTGTGGTACAGTAAGATACACATTCATTTTAACAGGAAAACCAGAGAAGCAATACACTGTAGCATCTGACAGTCCTATTGAAGCATTTTGGAAATACACCCTCCTTTTTGTGGGACACATATTTTGCTTAGTTTATTCTTTATAAACCATAAAACTTTGCATGATTTAAAGTGCCAGAGACACATTGCATTTCAAAATGAGAATAACTTTTTTTTTACAATAATTCCAAAGGGCCTTATTCTGCTACTATTCTCGCACTCAGCATTTGGTTACTCTGTGAATAGTCCCATTAATATTAGTGATGCTACTCATAGAGTAAGACCCTACTCAGGAGAAGGATGGCTCAAAGAATTTGAAAACATTAGCTAGCTCAGCCTCAAAACACCAATAGATAATGGGATTAATTTATATACCAGTGAAATGCAGCTTTTCTTCTAGGGTGGAATACAGAAATGTTTTAGCATTTCACAGTGATAACTACACATCAGTTTTGAGAAAGAAAGTGAAGAATATTTCATCCAGTTTCAAGACATAAAGTGAAGAATAGTAGGCAGAAAGCGAAGAATAATGCATCAAGATGAGTCTATTTGTGGAATTTGTGCATGTATATTTTCCTTCAGTGTTTTACATGAATATTATTACTTGTTCATGTACTGATAAACTTTGCATTTTAATTCTTCTTCCAGAGTTTGTTTTTTTTTTATCTTGAGACATAGTGTAGTATCATAGAATGCATTTTAAAAGATATTCGGCATTTTAATAACCTCTTTAAAAATCCACTCTAAATACTAGTTGCCTGTACTACAAAAGTTCATCAATATCTGGACAGCCATGCAGGCAGCTAGGAGGCCACTCCATTAATGAAATGTTAATGACTGAATTAAACCTGTAATAACAGAAGCAGGATGTACTGCTGTGAGTCCATTAGCATCAGCAGAGCCTGCTGGGGAATAAGTAAACACAACGTACAAAGAAAACTTCTTCTGATGAAAGGTTGGGGTTGCTATAAAGGTGTTCAAGTTCCAGAGCTACATGTACAATGCAATGTTATCCCAAAGGATTTACATTTGACAATGAGATAGTATAATGTATGTGATGGCACGCTCCACTGTCAGCCCAAACCACACAGATTATAGCAAGAGGGATTGAATAGTATAGAGAACCTCCATATTATTGAGGTTCAAATCCAATCCAGATTCCTTACGGTGAAAAGTTGTTACCACCCGATGGATGCTCGGCCACTGTGGAAAATGAGCTTCATGGTCCCTGACTAAAGACCCAATAGACCTCACAAAAATCACCACTGTAGCTGACACTGTTTACTGATTCTGCTAAATGTTTATATCATGCCCTAAAGGTAGATTAGGTGTAACACTTTCTGTAAAGAGCAATGATTTCAATATAAGTACCAACATAGTTAATGGCTTCACTCGTGGTCATTTTACCTAAATCATTTAGCTAATGTATCCATAGTTGCAAGGCGCATTGCTGGATTGCAAGGAAAGATGATTGGGAGCAGTCTTGCTGCTGGAATGGAGAATTAGGAGTTCAAACTGCTCCACTTCTCCCCACCCCCAAATTTGAAGTCAACTTCTACCCACAAAGAGAAAAGAAAAAATAAATACATCTCTGTCAAAAATCTCAACTATTTCCCATCCCTTCCTCAAGTCCAAAAGCTGTGACTTTCCCCTGCACAACAGTTAAACCTCCAGCTGACCTTTACAGCTTCTCTAGTGGAGCTGTAAATAAAAATAATTTAACAATATCATATATGCAGCACACTGAATATTCAAACATTGGAATCAGCATAGATTTTTATAGAAAAATGAAAAATAAAAAATGATGTATGGTAGTTCTCATATTTCAGTTATGTACTTGAAATTACAGACATCCAAGTCAGAGAGTGGGGTGAATTAGGAAGAGTTGGGATGGTTAAATATTTCAAAATGAAATTTGTACTAAATAGTTAGTTCCCTTGGCAGAGAGCAAGATCAAGTAGGGTTGGACTAGGAAGAGAATCCGAAGAGAGAGGCTAAGACAGAAAGGAGTTAGAGGCCCAAACCTCAATCAGTGAGCAGTACATTTGTTCAGAAACACACAGGGTAGAAAAATAGACATTTATTTTAAAGCAGTAGAAGTTTGTGTAATGATGTGATCATAGCCTTGGGAGCTCAGCAACATGGGTGCAGAAAAGGAGCTAGTGCTCCTAGATTGGTATCCCAAGGACTGAATGAAAATAGAATCAGCTGCCTTTTCACTTCCAGAGTCCACACTGAGGAGGTTGAAACACATTGGCAGGCAGCTTAGGGAATCTTGCATCGCTACACCCTATTCTGTGTCTAGAGCTCTATAAAACTTGCTATTTTTCAGGTGACAGTGATTTCACCCCTAGTGTAGACAGCTATCTAGTTCTACCAAATACTATCCACACCATGAGAAATCCTGTGGCACGTTATAGACTAACAGATTTATTGGAGCATAAGCTTTTGTGGGCAAAGGCAAAGTGGCTCTTTGCCCACAAAAGCTTATGCTCCAATAAATCTGTTAGTCTATAAGATGCCACAGGACTTTTCATTGTTTTTGCAGATTCAGACTAACATGTCTACCCCTCTGATACTTATCCATACCATGTTATTTAGACTTGCACATTTAATAGATGAGCTGGCAACAGCAGTTGAAGGCAGAGGCTTGTTTATATATAAGCTATTACTGGTACAGCTGAATCAGTGAGGATTTGTTTAAAGTTCCCTTGGATAGACAAGGATGCTGAGGTTAAAATTATTACAGCCTTTTAAAAAGTGTAGTATACACCTCCTTCCCCCCCACAGGGGAGATGATAAAGAACTGAGGATTCTGCTTCTGTCCTTCTGTGTCCCACCTTGTCTTCTTTGGATTCATAGAAGCATCAATAGATGGAGTTGTTATCAGGTATCCAGAAGTGTTCCATGCTTCCTTTCCTATCTGCATTCCTGGGCATCCATAATCTGGTTATTAATATAAATCAACACAGTTGAGACATTACTATATTCATGCTTATAAGATGAGCTGTGCTTTAGAACATTTAGCCCTTCATGGCTGCCTCTCTCTGGTGCAAGATTTTACTACCTCCACATTTCTGTAGGTAGACCCATGAGGTCCTCCCGCTTTTAGACTGTGGCTACATCTAGACTACAGGGTTTTTCCAGGAATGCATCTGCTCTTCTGCTTTTTTTATTTTTTTTATTTTTTTTTTTGCAGAAAAGCAGACAGACTCTTTCAGAAGCCTTGTCTTCCATGAGGAAGAAGGGCTCGTCTGAAAGAGGAAGATTTTCCAAAATTTGGCCCAGTGCAGTTGGGACAAATTTGGGAAAAGCTTCTTCCGAAAAAACTACCAGAAAAGGGTTCATAAATTAGGCTCTGCACTTTGCATACCTTTTCCCAATAGATCCCTGTAGTCTAGACATAGCCTGGGTCTCAGGGATCAGCCTCCTGTTTTACTTTCTGTGAAGAAACGACACATCCAGGAGCATATAGCCAATGTTCAGCCTTTCCCTCCAGGAGTGCATAGCCAATGATTGATCAAAATGACCCAAAACAGCTTAATCAAAACACATTATTTATTCGTTCAAACAAATATCACTTGAGTGAGATAAAATGTCTCGATCTTAGCTCAACTTTGTATTTTTCCAGTAAGCTTTGGAAAGTGCCATTCAGCCCAGAAATCCCTCCTGGTTGGAAAAGACAGGCAGCTCCTGTAACATTTCTTGCCTGTCTCTCACAACAGCCTACCTAAGCAGATGTTGCCCATGCATCTCACCCTTCCTCTCTAGATAGGGGTTTTTAATGATTTAGGCTTTTTTTTTTAATCTCAGGCTCAAGTCTGGGGAAAAATTAAACTGGTAGGGTATGTCTACACTTCTGGCTGGATTTACAGACCATGATCAATACAGAGGAGCACAATTTAGAATCTACTCTAGAAGCAATAAATTGACAACTGATCGCTCTCAGTTGAGCATCCTCTCTGGTACTCTATCACAATGAGAAAGATCTAGGGGAATCAACGGCAGTGTATCTCCCATTGATACACTGCAGTGAAGACACTGTGATAAAATCTAAGTACTTCAACTTCAGCTATGTTATTTATGTATTTACAATATCTCTCCTGATATTGTAGACAAACCCTTAGTCTGGCTTGAGCCATGAAAGGGGACATTGCACCCATAAGGTCCATTGGTATTATTCCTGGAGATATCACCACCCTTTTTTTCCTTTCTTCCTTGGTTTTCCTGGATAAATCAACGGAATCTAATTTTATATAGTATAAACCAACAAATGGTCTGGTAGCACTTTATAGCACAGCCCACTTCTTCAGATGACCTGATAGATGTCTGTCTAACTTGCTCTTAAATATCTCTAATGATGGATATTCCACAGACTCTCTAAGTAATTTATTCCAGTGTTTAACCACCTTGACAGGAAGTTTTTCCTAATGTCCAACCTAAGCCTTCCTTGCTGCAATTTAAGCCCATTACTACTTAAGTGTCCTATCATCAGAGGCAAAGGAGAACAATTTTTCTCCCTCCTCCTTGTGACACTCTTTTAGATACTTGAAAACCGCTATCATCTGAAGAAGTGGGCTGTGCCCATGAAAGCTCATGATACCATCTATGTGTTTTGTTAGTCTATAAACTACTACCAGGCCATTTGTTGTTTTTTTTCTGTAGCAGACTAACTTGGCTACCCCCGAAGCTCTATATAGTATGACAGAGTAATGGGCAAGTATGTAGATGTACATATAACATCTATACAAAAGAGAATGATAGAAACATGTATGGCTACGTCTACACTGGCATGATTTTCCGGAAATGCTTTTAACAGAAAAGTTTTCCATTAAAAGCATTTTCGAAAAAGTGCGTCTAGATTGGCAGCATGCTTTTCCACAAAAGCGCTTTTTGCAGAAAAGCGTCTGTGGCCAATCTAGATGCTCTTTTCTGCAAAAAAGCCCCGATCGCCATTTTCGCGATCGGGGCTTTTTTGCAGAAAAGAGCATCTAGATTGGCCACAGACGCTTTTCTGCAAAAAGCGCTTTTGTGGAAAAGCATGCTGCCAATCTAGACGCACTTTTTCGAAAATGCTTTTAATGGAAAACTTTTCTGTTAAAAGCATTTCCGGAAAATCATGCCAGTGTAGACGTAGCCATACTCTACAGTGTTTCTGTGTAAAATTGATTTCTAATAAGAATCCAGTGGTGAAGGCACAAGCCTAAGATTTGGGATAGGTGGATTCAGTTCCCACATGGTCTCATACATCCCATGTGTTCTGAGGCATGTCGCTTTTCTTCTCTATGCCTCAGTTCCCCCTATGTAAAACAAATAATAGTACTTGCTTACCTCAGACAAGTCTCTCTCCTCCATGTGTTTGGATGTGGCGTTGCAGATGTTCTCTCATTTCTGTGCCCTCTTTAGTCACTGTGGAGCCTCAACAATTTGTCATACACAATCTATCCCTCTGATCAAGTGACTGTTCAATCCATTCTCCTCCAGGGCTAATGGTAAACTCCCAGAAAGGAAACCCTTTATGCTATCTCATGTGTGATCTGTTGTTGCTTCTCTT